CTGCTACTACCTTCTGAATTTATTCCCCCTTGCTGGACGAGCAGTACCCATGAGACAAATCCCCGCACACCTTTTTTTTTTTTTTTTTTTTTTCCTCAGACAGACAGGCTTCTTGGAACTTCTCTTCTTATGCTCTCTCAAAAGTCCACTAGCACATGTAAGATGTGGAATAAAAGAAAGATGCTAACTGTCAGTGGTGATGCGCACTGGGATCCACCAGCAAAGAACTAGAGATGAAAGCATTTGGTTGTGAAGATTATGTGGCCACTACTAAAATAACGTCCTTTAAGGCATAAAAATAAACGCCTCTCAAATGTGTTTCCATGGCAAAAGCAGCCACCTGGCACACAGGTCAGTATTCGGAAATGCCATGTCAAGGCATGGAGGCTGACTAGTTAATACAAGTCAGGCACCATTCTCCTGCCCATATGACACCTCAGTAGGCTTTGAAGAAAGTGTGCTGGAGATGTCATTTTCCACTCTTTTATAAACACCCACTTCAAGATGCTTCACTCCAGGCTAGCAAGTGATGCCCTACATCACTATACTATTATTTACAGAATTTATAACATAGGATCATGGTTACAACTTCATACATTGCAAGTATTTGTGGAGCATATTCACCAATTCACCAGAATATACTTTCCTAAGAGTGCTTATCTAGCAGTAACATACAGAAAAAACTTCAGGCATTATACTTCACATTTCTCACGCCTACTTTTAAAATAGAAAAGTAGTGTCTTTGTACATGTGGAAAGAGGCTCTACATTCTTTTTTTTTTTTTTTTTTTTCTCCTCCCAAGAGTGAACAGGAGTGAAGAACAGGGTACATTAAAGGATGAAAGCACTGGTTTAAAATATTTCATATCCCTCCTTGCATTGCAATAATATAATAACTATCTTGACTTAAAAAACAAAATAAAAAAAAAAAACCTGTTTTTAAAGATTAGATTTAGTGTGCATATTCCAGAGAGAAACAAGTTAAAGAACAAAGTCAATCAATGCTTGTTTCCTAATGTCTCTGAATAAAGATCACATACCTTTCTGGAAGACATGCTGTAATTAAACTAACCTCAGCAGAAGGGCAGCCATTCCATGGCATATTTTCCACTAGAGGTCAGGCTGAAGGAAGCAATGATCTATTCTAGCCTTCAAAATCTGAGTGAGAGTTACTAATCAAGTTTTGGTAGTTTGAAAATCAGAATTTAATTAATAACACTTTGCTTCACTTAAAATGAATGACAAAGATGTGTTTTTCTAAGTGTCCAACTGCTGGAGGTATTTAATCATGAGAGTATTTTAATACATGTCAATACAACTTTTCACAGAGCAGTTGATGTGCCATCTCAGTTGGCAGGACAAGGTTTGTACTGCAATAGAAAAGTTTTTCTCAAAACTTCAGCCTTGAAATGAAAAACATGTTAAAAAGTTTGGCTAATGACAAAGAATATTTTAGTTACTTTTAAAAGGGTATTTTTCAAGGTTTTTTTTTTTTTTTTTTTCCTTGTGAAAGGATATACATTACAAGCAAAGTCCATCAAAAAACTAGACTGAATTTGTTTCTGTAAGTAACTAAGAAGAAACGCTGCTAAGCATGGAGTAATGACCATAACAGACTTTGGATGACTACATTTTTTAAAACCCCAGAGAGATTTGAATTAGGAGCCTAAGCTTTTCTTTTTGTCCAGTTTGATGACATGCAATGTCATCATTTTCAGAAGCACTGAACCAGCTTCTTGAAATAAAACCTTGAAGGCAGACTTACTCCCAGAAATTCAAGGAAATATCTGATGTATCATTTATAGTTTTAAACATCTGCTTTGTTGCACCAGGACATGAAATCGTGCTCAGATGGCAAGTCCTAGCTCCAAGGTCTTCACCAGTCACCAGCCCTCTCAGCAATTCACTGCCTACAGCACATCTGTCTCCAGCCATGAAAACCTGGACAAAGTAACCTTGTCTACAGTCACGTAAACGTTTACCTCTGGGTTGAAATCTAAATAGAGGAGTTGCTCACAAGTTTACACTTCTGAAAACAAAGAAGCCCACGAAATTCACTGAGAAAGGAAACTAACTAACTAGATCAAACTATGTCAGCTAGTATTTTCAAGTACCTTAAGGTCACATATTAGAGCCACTTCAAACCATGATGTACTTTACAAAAGTAAGAATATAAAATGTCAGGAATAATGTGCAGAGAGAAGAAAACTTGTAGTTTCTCCAGCCACCTACGATTACTGGTAGAAATAAGACGCATAAGGTTTAGAAATGAAACCTGCAAGACACTGGTTTGAGTTTCCTATGGTCTAGCCTCTTCTGTACTTTCACCATCTCACATGTAGTCTACCTGCTGATAAGTCAGTTGCTTCATCAGAGTTACGGATTACCACAAAAGAGCCAGGTAAAAGCTCAGTCTGAAATTCACATATACATGTTTTAAAAGGTGAAAAAGCATTTTATATCAGCAGTGTATTCAACTAATGGTTTTTTTTATATATATTATTTTTATTTTTTATTTATTTTTTATTTTCTAGTTCTGAAAATGTGCTAACATTTTAAAGTATACACCTGCACAACTGGGTATGACACAGACACATCTCTCTAACGCACAGCCTGGAGCAATGTAAGAGCCATTTGAAAAGGACCACTCAAACGTAACTTCCACAGAGCTGGCAGTCAGAGTCTCATTGAAGCTGGTAACGCAGATTTCACAGATTGTACCCCACCCAGATTCACAGATGGTATTTGTGGGAGCAAAGGAAAATAAAATATAGGTTTAAAATAAATGCAAGAGAAACACAGAATAATATTGAATCACTCTAGGTATTTCTAAGGGTTTCTGTTTATCTTTTCTATTTCTCAGCACATAGTGAGTATATGTTCAAGGCTTTGATACCACTGAGCAAATGGAAGGGTTTTAAAATTAATTTTGTTTCAAATGTAAAATCACAGAAATAAAGATAGGCTCCAGATATTTCTCTTTAGAGTGAAGTTACTGTACAGAAGCTTCATGCAAAAGGAGTTAAAAGCTGCTCCTGAATACATTGTGCTAGTCTGCATCCCTCCTTGTGGACCACTTGTGATGTTCTGACCTCCTAACATGCCTGTTAATTAACTAAACCTCCTATTTTAAATGTAAGGTGTTATGAACACTTAGCTGTTAGGTGGCTAAGATAATGTACTACTAAACAACAGAATGAATTGAATGCATAGACCTCTGCTTCCTTAGTGTTACTGCAGGTGTACTAGAAAAACTCAAAAATTTGGAAATTAATCAATTAAGAACCAAACAATTCTGAAATTAAGGGGTCAAAAGCCTACTAAGAAGTCCTTCGTAGGAAAGCTGGTACTGTGAGTTTCTTATTCTGTCATGCCTTTTTTGTGTTAAAGGGAAGGGCTAGCTCTGCTGAACTGCAAGCGGATCCCTCTATATGCTTTAGATGCTGACATTACAATACAAGGGGGCAGGGTAGTTGCAGACGGATCAGTCTGAGTTGTCAGGTTGACTGACAACTATTGTTTTGGGCCCTGGTTCAAGGTCCCAGCCTGACCCCTTCCACCACCAGCCCCTCTCAAACTAGGAAGGGCTGATGGGCAACATTACTTTGTTAGCCAGGTAGCTGGTCTCAATTTCTCATAAAAAGCTAATAGAGAAAGAAGGTATAGGAAGAAAACAGCAAAAGCAGCAAGTGGTAGAGAAAGATGCAAAGAGAAGAAACATGGAAGTCCATGCTTCTGTTCTGCTCCCTTCTGGAGGCCCTCATAACCCAAAAGGTGTTGACGTGTGCTTCCAATTCCAGTGTTTGACTTTTAATCATCCTCTCTTGAAAATCCTCTTTCTAAAGAATCCACTTCCTCATTATTTCAGTCATTAGTTAAATTTAATTTCTGGTAAATCAATGTTTACTTGTTGATTTCATGTCCTACCCTTCTCTTTTTAATAAGTAAGACTTAGACACTATCCTTGAATTGACATAAAAATCCCCTTCTTTGGATTTACCCAGTCTGTCTGCATCCTTCCCAACTCCTCCTATCGGCCTTCTCAGCTACAGGCTAGCACAACGCTGTCTGACCTTCAGTGACTCACCACAACAATGGGTAGATAGGTAGGCTCCAGCACGATGTGCCTTGCACTTTTACAACTTTACCCAGGCCAAGAGAAAAGCCTGTGGCATACGGAGACAGCAGAATGAAGTCTTCCACTCCTCTCTGGGCTGTCCAGTAGTAGAACAGCTTCTGAAGTACAGAGGCAGAAAAGAAAACCAAACACAATGGGCTCTGACTTGCCACTTAAAATTTATGAATGACCAGCACGCTGGATATAAAGTCTTTTGGGGGTTATTTTCTCTCCTTGAAATCTCATGCTACTATTTAAGCCACGGTTACAAAAACAAACAAGAAAGACCAGGAAGAGTCTTTAAAGAAATTATTTCAAACTAACACATCATAGAAAGATATAAGCAAAGAGCAAAATTTCCCATCAGCAACATATTTATGACAGTATGACATACAAACTAATTATATATTCACATCTGAATTACTTGATATATACATCTGCAAGTGTCACTCATTTTATGCTGAATTTATTCATAAACCAAAAAAGAAAAGATCATTTACATAGGCTCTACACTTTATCCAGTCACGAAAATCTATGTATGAAGTAACTTCAACAAAAACAATTACTTCAGATTTTCACCAGTGTCACTAAATAGTGTTTAACCCAAATACTTTTCTTTTTTAATCTACTCATCTGAGAGAGATGGAGCTACAATGGTTTGCATTTTTTAATCCCAAAGTGGATTACACAAACAACAATTTCATCAAAGATTTTTTTTTTTTTTTTTTTTTTTACAACAAACCTAGCATTACCAGCTACATCTTATTATTAAGGTAAGCATTCTTCAAAGAACTGTATGATTGGAAATCTCTTTCTGATACATAGTGACATTCTATCTGCTGGCTGCAGTTAGAAGAGTCAAAATGAAAACAAAAATTCAAACACACTTTTTTTCATCTTATCTTTATTGATTTAGACTTCAGAGCTACAGCCAAAAATAGAGCATCTGTAGAAAATTACCACACATGCTATCAATACAGCATCATCGTATGTTTAGAATTATAAGCACTTGACAAATAGCAAAGAGAACATTCAATCTAACATTTTGGCAATGCAACCAAGAATGCAGAGAGGGACTTTTTTTTCCTCCAAAAATAAGTATTTCTAACCAGGAATGAAAAGCCTCTGTTAAAAAAATTAATTCTCATCACCCTGTAAAACTCATGTTGGCTCATTCAAGACATCAACACACACCACTGGAAACTTTGCATGGAATGTCAAATGATACACAGAAGCTATAACTCAGTTACAGGTACAACGCTGTCTTCAGCACTTTGTATGCCATTGAGATGGTAACAGCATACCCAACTACCCAAGACAAACCTCTGGCAGGCTGGGGAAGAGGGATCAAATATGCAAGAGTGTGAGTGATCCTAGCTCCAACGAAGATCCTAAAATGCAGCAAGGCTGTGGACAGATCAGAGCCACTAAGAGCATACAGCAGTCCAATGCCAAGAAATGGGACAATATTTTCAAGGTCATTCAGGTGGCCTCTGGGGAGAAAAGCAAAGTTGTTTTATAGTGTTACATTTTGTTAAGTAAATCACTTCAAGTCTTATTATTTTTCAGCATCTTCAAAGTGTGCTATTGTTAAGGCCCTATCACTACTGTTGACTTTCTCTACAGTGGGGCCCTGACTTTAACGTATGTTCACCTGACATTGCTCTGGTCTCTCTTGCTGCACCCCCATACTTTTATGCTTCTGATCTTCTATATGAAATATCTTATATTTTCTCTAGGATCTTGGTAATATAAGGGACTTACATGAAGTATGTGAGGGCACCATAGTGTGCAAGAATAAAACAAGAGGAAGAAGATTTTCTGGGCTCCCCAGTACAAAAAAGACAGGGATCTGCTGGAAAGAGTCCAGCGGAGGGCCACAAAGATGATACAGGGCCTGGAGCATCTTCCTTATGAGGAAAGGCTGAGAGACCTGGGCCTTTTCAGCCTGGAGAAAAGAAGACTGAGAGGAGATCTCATCAGTGTGTATAAATGCCTGAGGTGTGGGAGACAGAGGGATTTGGCCAACCTCTTTTCAGTGGTTTGCAGGGACAGGACAAGGAGTAATGGTCACAAGATAGAGTTTGCGAAGTTCTGCGCCAACATACAAAAGATCTTCACAGTGAGGGTGACGGAGCACTGGAACAGGCTGCCCAGGGAGGTTGTGGAGTCTCCTTCTCTGGAGATATTCAAGGCCCATCTGGACGCCTACCTGTGCAGCCTGCTCTAAGGAACTTGCTTTGGTAGGGGGGTTGGACCCAATGATCTTTCGAGGTCCCTTCCAACCCCTTCAATTCTGTGATTCTGTGACAACAGCTGGAATTCTCCTGTACCCTCTCACAAACAAACATCAATTGAACCGGATGACACTAACTGCAACTATTAGACTTCATTATTAGACCTTCACAATCTACTCCAACACTATCAACTTAGTTTGTAGTCTCCATAAAGAAAATATGAAACACCCTATATATTAAACATTCTATCCAAACTTCATGAGACCTCAATCATCTTGAAGAATGTTATTTTTTAGCACCTAACAAGTCTGACAGTTATACTCTTGGTTCATTTTCTTCACTACTAAGCACTAAAATAGTGCTAAGTGGAAAAGTGTTTGAAATTTTGAAACCATAGTATAATTTACTAAGAATGTGTTGAGACTGAACTCCAGATCTTGAACCCTTCCACAGCTCTTCGTAAACCTTCCCTGCTCCCTTTACCTCTTAAGATAAACTATAATTCCAACCAAATTTGCTGATTGAAAAAAATTGTAAGCCTTACTAATTATATCAAATTTCACTGCCAACTAGAAACAGAACATGGTGTTGTTTTGCAGCTGCTTTTTGAACTCATGTATCATTACAAGAAAACATATCCTCCAGAAATGTTTTTTGCTTTTGTTTTTTCCCCCCAAAAAAATGCACAAAAAGTAATGTTTTCCATACCCATAAACATAACAAATTCCAGTCACTTATATAGAAGAGAAGCCATGATAAATCTATCCAGCATTCTCTGTTGCCTTGAAGCTTGGAATAGAAAATAAACATCCATTAAGAATCATTGTCAGGAGAAAATAAAAAAATGGATGCTTTAACACCAATGGAGTAACTAGAGACAAGCTGACTTACTAGTTCTGGGGAAGTCTTAAACACTGCAAAACAGCAGCACAGGCTTTGAGAATACAGTCTTGTAAAAATCCTATCTGTGTAGCTCAGACTGTGAGGTGACTCATTTTCCTAACATACTGATTTGAATTAAAAGGGCACTTGGTCCTAAAGCTGGTAGCAATTTAGCTGTCCTCTTAAAATTTACAAACAGAAAGGAATTACTCTTCAACAAGAAGTGCCCAGTTCTATGTAACGGCCAACACATTAAACAACAACTCCCTGAATAACAGAAGGGAAGGAAAGGGAAGTTCATTAGTATTTTTACAGCCCACTGAAACCCTCCTTTCTGAGATTTTAATCCAAAAGAGACATACAGAAATATACTAGCCTTCATGGAACTACAATCATCTACATCAGCAAGGATCTACTGTTCTGAAATCAAAGTTGATATTTATTTTCTAGATGTTCCCTAATGGTGTTTTAATGAGAACTGTTCATTCACATTGAAGTTTTTGGTATAAAATCTTGAATATAGCAAATAAACTAAAAGCTTCATTAAGGAATAATGATACAGAAAGCATTAAGAATATTAAAGGTTCCTGTGCCTTGTTAGTACAGGTATATCAAACAGCATCTCTAATCTTATGATTTTGGTACCAGAAAATTTTTGCCAATAGCTAAACAGAATTAAATAAGCTGCCACATTTAACCCACTGAACTTAACTTTACAATCTGCCATGAATCTTGCAAAACAAAATACATACACTGCAGGTTGCACACTGCTATACTATTAATAGCATTCTTCCAGAAGGCTGGTCAACTTTCCCGTACAACTGATACATCAGGCAGTAACCCCAATTCAATCCAGCAAAAAGAACACAGGCTTGGACTCCCACTCAGCATAATTTGCCAAACCATGCCCTTATTACAACTCTGGAGTTCCATGATTTTAATACAATTTCATTCCTCTTCCCCCCTGTTATTTCCTTTACACTTTAGTAAAAGATGCAACTCTTGCAACTCACGCTGAAATACACTGAAAGCTGATTTATACTAAATCAATGTACAATCATGTTTTATAATCTTCTCACCACTTTCCCCAAGCACTCAGGATCCAAGAGTGTGCTATTATAGCCAAACACTGACATTACTTGTAGTTTGCATGCTGACCATTTGAATGCGGAATATTTTTTTTCATTTGGACAAATTAACATAAAACATACTAGAAATAGCAACACAAAAAAGGTATGGGTTTGCCAAAGAAAATGTGATGAAATTAGTTCTTTGATTCAGGCTGATTCTGTTACTTAAAGTAACTTTTGAAAGACTCCCATGCATTACCTGCGTACGCGTTCAACATCTGCATCAGTCCGCAGGTATTTTTTGGCACTCTCGCCTTTACCAAATGATGCTGTATCTTCTGGGTTAACAAATGCCTATTTCAAATAAAAACACAAAAGAGACATTAGATGCAAGGATGCTGCTTCTAGTCAAAGCAGGTTCATACAAAGATATGCTCTCTACTAATGCCCCTGTAACCCCACATAACTTACCTGCAGTTAAAAGCACAGGGTACAATACATCATTCAACAGAAAAATAATTTCTTGAACCTAGCCCACGTGTAGCATGTACGCTGACAAATTAACAAAATTTGTGCATGTAAATGATGCCTTCTTATAACATGGACAAACACAGCAGATGACTGAAGCAATGCCAGTGGCCTGAAAGAACATCATAACACGGAAGGTAGAAGTGTCTGTACTGCCTAAGCCTCTTTTCACTATTCTTGACAGATTATCTGAAAGCCCTTTTGGATCCTTTCCTTCTTCAGAAGTCTATACAAGAAGAGCATCCGCTCCCATCCTCATTATTACCAAATACACTGATCCCTTTCCTTTTAGGTACAAATTTTGCCACTTATATGACGCTTTATTACCTCCAATAATTTAAGATTATCATTTGAAAACATCATTCACTTCAGTTGGTGCAGACTGCAGTAGATGTCTCCTTGCCGAGATGTAGTAATACATGCATTCTGTGAACTGTTCATGCTATATAGGATTTAGATTTTAAGAGGTACATGATTGCTTTCTGAGGCAGCCTTGATCCCTCGCTGTTAAATATCTTTGGCCTCAAAATTCTGGAGACATTAACAGTGTCAGCAACACTCTACCTTTCCTTGCTCCATTGCTTTCCTCCATTTTCTCTTAATACTTCATTAGTCTATTTTCTTTTAAAGACTTTTTTTTTGTCGTTTTAAACAACAAATGAAAAGTACTTTACTTATCTGTTTTTTATATTACTGTCCACCATAAGAAAAGCAATTACCTCAAATCACAGAATCACAGAATCTCTAGGTTGGAAGAGACCTCAAGATCATCAAGTCCAACCTCTGACCTAACGCTAACAGTCCCCACTAAACCATATCCCTAAGCTCTACATCTAAACGTCTTTTAAAGACTTCCAGGGATGGTGACTCCACCACCTCCCTGGGCAGCCTGTTCCAGTGCCTAACAACCCTTTCAGTAAAGAAGTTCTTCCTAACATCTAACGTAAAACTCCCCTGGCACAACTTAAGCCCATTCCCCTTCGTCCTGTCACCAGGCACATGGGAGAACAGGCCAACCCCCACCTCACTACAGCCTCCTTTAAGGTATCTGTAGAGAGTGATACGGTCGCCCCTGAGCCTCCTCTTCTCCAGGCTGAACAAGCCCAGCAGCCGCTCCTCGTAGGACTTGTTCTCCAGGCCCCTCACCAGCTTCGTCACCCTTCTCTGGACCCGCTCAAGCACCTCCATGTCCTTCTTGTAGCGAGGGGCCCAAAACTGAACACAGTACTCGAGGTGCGGCCTCACCAGAGCCGAGTACAGGGGGACGATCACCTCCCTAGCCCTGCTGGTCACACTGTTTCTGATACAAGCTTAAACGTGAAAAAGCCGGGTGGCTTTTTATGAAACTGAAATTTTTCATTAATTTTTATGAAATTAATGAAAGTCCTATTGCCATCTGCACACACATGGAACACAACACAGTATGAACATTAATATAGGACTTCATTAGATCTACATATAGAATCATACAGCTGACCTGCTTCTAGAGCAAAAGGAAATAAGGTTACAACACAGAAATCACAGAAATCTGTGTTCTATTTTGAACCTGTGAGTGTGTGTGGTCTACTGGACTCAACATTCAGCTGTGCCAAAGACCTAGAGAACCATCTGAAATCAGCAGTTGCTCGAACGCCATGCTACTAGGACCTCAAAGGTACTGTGTAACATCACAAACAACAGAATAATTGAGCTGCTTTCTCTTTCATCCAGCAGGTATAAAAAGCAGCATTTCAACTAAGGGACTGCAACAAACTCTCTGAAGCACATGCTGTCTTGCAAAAGCAGATCTCACAAGAACAGTCATATGGGGCAAACCCAGGGCTCTTTCATCTCAGGACCAAGCGTTTCCTAGAGTGGCCAGTAGCAGATACCTAGAGATCACCAAGAACACGGCAAACACAATGCAATGTTTCCCATGGGCACCCTCTCCTATGCTAGATGCAGCTTCTACATTATTTAGTAATCCTCACTCAATCTTTCATACACTTATCCAAACTATCCATCAATCCACGTAAACTTCCAGCCTGCCACTCATTTTTGAAAATGATTTTTTTTTTAAAATGACCTTTGTGAAATGGGAAGACTAAAACAATTAGGGAATGTAAAAAGCTTTGAAATTACTGGATGAAAGGGTTATAGAAGCATACATATATAACTCATATACCCTCTCTGACCCTACTGGTTGGTTATTCACTTAACACAGCTTCATATCATGTTTTATTTGCTTTATAAATTGGGTAGCCTGGACACCAGCATTATCCACAAGACAGTGGAAATTACAGTTTTGAAAACTTCTCATTTAAAAGGAATAGATATGTTTTAGAAGAATAGCGTAAGTCCAATGCAACTGTAAGAGAGTCTCATAAATATCTCACAATTAGGTTAAAAACATTCTCCATTTGATACCAAGAAAGCACCAGCTGGCCAAATCCAGTATATCATTAGGGGAGGGAAAGAGGAGAAAGTTGAAACAAAATAGAAAGAAAAGCACCTGTATTTGAAAGGTGAAAAGAAATGCCTATGATATCTCTGTTATTTCAATACAGATTTTTCTACCAGACAACAATCCCAGCTTCTTACCTTTCTTGTGATTCTGAAGTATGCAGTTATAAGACTCATTAGCATCATTTTTAGGAGAACAATAGTTGCATAGGTAGCATAAGCACGGAAGACTTCATTGTCAATTAGCTGGGTAAGTTTAGCCATTTCTCCACTTCTCACTGATGACCTTTAAAAAATATTGAAGTTAGACTAACATTAGAGAAGCCCAAAGTTCTGACAACAAGACTGACAAGACAGCTCTTCTTAGCATCACTGCAGTGACGACAGAACTTTGGCTCTCTGAAAAAAATATTTTTCATAATATTATTTTAAAATTATTTTTTTTTAAACAAGCAAAATACTTAGTACACTTTCCAAGTAACAAAAGCCAATTTTAGACCAAGTCATTTGAACTAGTGAATTTCCCTAAGCAATTACCAGGATAGAAAGAGTGTGATGACATACTCTATGTACTAGAGTGTTTAAAGAGGAAAATTAGTATTGCCTACCTTTTTTTGTAAAATGACACAATTATAATTGCATTTCAGCTTTTGAACTAGCCAATATCTTCCCACCCAGCAATAACTTGTGATCAAACTGAGTTAAACATGCATTTTCTTCCTTTGAGACCTAGTTCTTAAAAATTGCTTTTAGCATGATTCACGGGCAAAGATTAAGTTGTAATGACAAAAAGCAGAGAACTATTTATGCTTTTATCAAGGGAGGTTTAAGCTAATGAAGACTCTTTCCAGTGAGGCTGTACCAAACCCACCATCTCATGGAGGCGGTATCTTTTATCAACACCATCAAGTTAAGAAAGTTTTGAGGATTGAATGCATATAAAATGAAAAGCATGTCCACCTGCACATCCAATTTGTGCTCTGCACAGAGCAAGGCTTTTGCCTCACCAGGTGCTTTAATCATGCATTTAGTGAGTAGGAATCCATATAACTAGTATTTCTTAACTACCAGATACTTCATTCATTCTGAGAACAAAATAAAATTACATTTTTTTTGTCACGGCTAACTTCAAAATTTCCTGTAATATTTTAACAAGAAGTTAAAATTATGTACAGATCTAACATTCACTCATTTTGCCTTCAGCATGTAGTCACTGCCAGCTACAACCAAACAAGGGAAACTGGACCACCTGCGAACAGTACAAGACTCTTGTGCTGAAGGTACATCCTTGGTGGCGAAGTGGGCAGGACAGAGGTAAGCAGCTGTTTTCTCAGTGATGCAAATCTAGCCTTGCCTAAACATGTCTAGATGTGGGGATGGGATTTTGCTCCCTCCTTTATCCTTCACAAAAGAGTGCTTCGGTCACTGGGCCAAGCACTGGGTCTAGGGATTATGGGAAACTCAGAGCAACTCTTTCCACTCCCACTGCAGCTCAGCAGTTCTGAAAACAACCAGCAACTGGGCAAAGATTTTTCTCAGCAATGAATAGACACTGTCATTTTTAACTTAGTATCACAGCAAAAAGTATGCATGGTTTCAGATTAAAAAAAAAAAAAAGTAAATCTGTGGCTTCGAAGCATTTTTCCCCCACTGAACTTGAAAGCCATATTGAAAACACATCCAAGAACTATGTAAAGTCATGAAAAACTGAAAAACTGTTCACCGATGTCTCTTTATCCTACCTGCTGGAACTATACCACATTTATCCATTTTCCCTACTTGTAGGGTTAACTCTTCTAATTCTCAAGGCCTTGTCTTCACTACAAAAAGGGAAGATCAAAACCTCGCTGAAGACAAAGAATTCATCAGCAGGAAAGCCAAAATAAACCCTACCTTGTATAACAGATCAGGGTTTAAAGGGATATGCTTAGTAAAACTATCAGCAGACTGATCTGTAAGTGTAATACCACACTGCGGTGGGAATGCAAAATTCAAAAGTAAAAGTTTGGATCCCACGTACAGGCTCTTAAAAGCAGAGAGGGGAAGATAGTTCAGCCACGTTGCCCTCACTGTGCACCTATGTTAATATTCACATTACACATGATTTTTGTCCCAGTGCTGACAGACTAGGCCTTCCCTGTGCAGTTGTGATTGTTAATATCAGCTAAATACCAGCTGGGATGGCCTTTTGTTGTTCGTTTGTTAAAACACTACTTTTCAAAGTATTGTGTGATAGCAAGTCCAGCTTCTCAGAAATATATGCTCTGTTCTTCCCCGTTGCATCCTTAGGCACTGACACTACACCCACCCCTTCCATAAACTATGGTAATTTAACCCGCCTTCAAAACTCAATCCGTAACAAAACCCCGGCGGCCACGCTTGAGTCACGGGGCTCCCTAGCAAACCTGTGCCGTCCTCAGCTGTGAATTCAAAGCACGTTTCGGCTGCTGCAGGCGTCCAGAGAGAAACTGCGCCCTTTAAAAAGAAAGAAATCGGGAAGTTTCAACACGCCCTGGGTGCTCCTTAGCCCGGGCCGAGCAACTCCTCCCCAGCTCGGGGGGGGGCAACCTGGGAGGCGGGGGGCAGCCAACGCCTCTCCCAGCCCCGAGGGCTCCTCGGAGGGAGGCGATTTCCCCACTCCCCACAGCCAGTACCTAAGGAGCCCCCTCGCCCCACTCCCGAGCTGTCCCCGAGCGAACCCCGCTGCCTGTCCCCGAGCACGGCCCCGGAAGGCGGCGGCTCCGGGGGGGAACCTTCCGCTCCCGCCCGGACGCGGCGCCGCCATCTCGCAGCGCCCACGCACCTCGCCCGGGTCCCCTCGGAGAGAGCGCGCCCGGCGCTGCCGCCCCGCTGCTCCCGGCCGCCCGATGAACCCCGGCCGGCCTCGGGGCCCCGCCTCGCCTCGCCTCGCCTCGCCCCAGCGGGCGCGGCGGTGGAGGCGGAGGCGGGTCCGGAGCTGGGCGGCAGCATGGTCCCCGGGGGCCGAGGGCCGTGCTCCCCCACCAGTGAGGGGGCGGCGGCGGCCACGTCCCCTTGGGGGCCGCGGGGCTCGCCCGGTGGCTCCGCGGGACTGGGTGACCCTGCTGAGGCAGCGTTCAGGCCTCGGCCCTCCGGGAGTTTAGCTGGAAGAAAACCGCGGGAGAAAGCAAAGAGAAAGCCCTCTGGCTTGAACGCTCATGGGCTTAAAGGCTTTTAAAACCCTGGAGGGAAAGCAAAGGTCGCAACCCAGGCAGACTTCATCATCAGGCACTGTGTTCAGCGGTTACACAAGCTGCTAAATGGTCCTGAAGCTTGCTTGAAGAAATACTGACAGCACCAAAAAGAAGGGCTGTGAAGCTGGTGAAGGGCATGGGACACGAGTCCTACGAGGAGCAGCTGAGGGAACTGGGGTTGTTTAGTCTGGAGGAGAGACCTTACTGCACTGTACAACTGCCTGAGAGGAAGTTGTGGGGAGCTGGGGGTCTGCCTCTTCTCCCAGATAACGAGTGACTGGAGGGAATGGCCTCAAGTTGCGCCAGGGGAGGTTCAGGTTGGAAATTAGGAGAGAGATTTCTTCCCAGAAAGAGTAATCAGGCATTGGAAAGGATTGCCCAGGGAGGTGGTGGAGTCACCGTCCCTAGGGTGTTTAAGGGAAGGTTGGATGTGGTGTGTAGGGACATGGCTTAGTGGGTGATATTGGTAGTCGGGTGGTGGTTGGATGAGATGATCTTGAAGAGTCTATGATGAATCTGAAGAATCTATGAAGAATCTAGATGATCTGTGAAAAATCTCAGTGCTTTCAGCCCCTGTGTTATTTTGGTGGACCTGAACTTTTACCAAAGACAAAATTATTTACATTGCAAAACCATCGGTGCTATTACAGTAAATCACAGTGTTTTGCAAAACCTGACAATAAAGGAACTTCAGTGTTGGGCAAGGACTTCTCCCAGCACACCAGAATGTGATGAAAGAAGGAAATGGGATGTTCAAATCTCCCTCTGCAGAGAAAATGGCACAACCTCCAGGGCATTTCTCGTAACTGAAATGTTTGTGACTAAGTAGATTATGTAAACAAGAGTGATGAAGGTGTAGACAAATGTAGTCAGGTTCACAGTAAAAATTTCAGAAGTAGTATATGTAGATATGTATAAAGGATGAAAGGGATATTATATTTAAAGCTGCATCATTATGAAAAACTAGTCTTGCATACATATATTCAGTGTTCATTGAGGCTACTTGTATGATTCATGTCACGTTACATGCCTGTATATGCAGACCTTCTGTGACTTCACATTAACCATGAAACAGCAAAACTCAGTTGAGCAAGGACTGTAGCTTTGGAACTGCTTTTAAGTGCCGTAGGAGCAGGGTTCAACAACCTTTGTTCCCACTAGTGACACAGCAAATAGTATTTCGGTTGAAGTCAACAGAACAAGTCACATGAATGTGAATAGGTAAGAGAAAGGAAATTTTTCAGATTTTCCTTCCCTAGGGAATGTATTTATTAGAAATCTGGAAATGTTTCAGCTGCTCCTAGCTGTTACTTCAAGACAGAAATTGTATTTTCAAAAATATCTGTACACAACCTAAAACATAGTATATCCCAATTACATCGTCTAATTAGTCCTACTACGATAGAAATATATTTATTTTCTATCATTTCTTTTTTTTTTTTTTTTTTCTGATTGATATTCCTCTTTATCTTAAGCAACTTTACATGTAAAAAGAAGGCAAACCTACTAAGTTAAACAGAGTTAAACTAAACTCACATTATTATACTTGAGAAGAAAAGCTGGTGACTGATTTATATGCAGTTCTCAGAACCACACCTGGAGATACAACAATGCCAGGAGAAAGGCCATTTTCAATAGATATAAGGAGGATATTAAGAGATTCAGAAATGCAGCTAGAAATTCTACAAAAATCACTGTTTCATTTGGATTTCTCTTTTTTGTTTTATGGATTCTACAAATTTAGATTGATTTGTGTTATCTTAACAAACACTTCTGGAACAGAAAGCTTATGCATTCCCAGTCTTTGAATTTTGAGGCCAACCTTTTTTCCTACCACCATGGAATTCCCCTAGTTATAAGGAAGGTATAGAAAGCAGAAAGAAGTTATGGGGAAAGGAGGGAGAGAAGGATGAGAAGAGACGAGAAAGAAAAAGATAGGAAAATATAAAAAAAGGGTTAAAAAAAGGGGGGGAAGAAAAAAGGGGGAAGAAAAAAAGGGAAAGGGAAGGGAGGAAGAAAGGAAGCAAGCAAGCAAGAAAGAAAGGAAAAGAAACAAGAATTGAAGCCAATATTTCTTGCAAACTGACTCCTTAAGAGAGGGGGGAAGAGAAGTCTAAATGGAGTGCAAAATTGGGGCCATAGTAAAGCAGAAGTGAACTTGTGCTCAAGGTCTATTTTCTCTTAAAAGTTCGGTAGCGGCACAAAGTGCCTGTACAACATTTGAAAACTGCTGTGATCTAAGTGAGGTTAGATACATAACTATGGTGGTAGTTGCTCCTGAGGGACCCATTCTCACAGCCCTTACTCATGTGAATTGTCCCTTTGATGCTAATAGGATTACTCTTGTAAATCAGGGATGCCATATCAGCCTGATGCCCAGGGTTATACTGATCATGAAGGGCTTGATCTTGCAAACCTCATTCATATGAGCAACCCTTTTTCATGACAATTTTCCCATTGACTTGAAGAACTATCCATATAGCCAGAGACAGTAGAATCAAGACACAAATTTAGGGTCAGCATAAAAGTAGGAACACAAGAGTTTTTCATTTAACCTCCAGCAAGGGATAGATATTGCCCACTAAGTTCAGATAAGTGTAATCATTCTCTTTTGACTGCAAGGAAGGTGAGGGAGAAGCATGTATTGATCAACCCCATTCCATCCTGTCTCCTTCTGTGGCTCCATTTATTCACCATGATTAGACTGGTAGAGAATGTACCAACAATACATTTTCACCCCACCTGAAGCGTCTGTTCACCACCCCACTGCTAATGCAGTTATTTCCTCAAACAGCTGTTCTGTAAAATCAGTAAATAATACCTCCTGAATTATATTAACTGATGATTTGCAGAGTAAAACAAATCAAGAACACTGAGATTCAGTACATATTCAGTTAAAACCTGAATTACTGTTTAAAACCAAAGGGAAAGTGTTAAAAAATGTTTAGTATAACAGACCACAGTCAGTTTTTGTGCTGCTCTGTTAAAACCTACACCCTCTGGTTAGAAAGCACTTTCGCTATATCAAATGTTGACACCTATGTAATTTCACCGTGATTCACGTGCTTCTGCTTCAGATCTCAAACTGCTATCAAGTTTCTCTGGGGAACTGCTTCAAAAACAGCAAGGAAGGATCCTTCTGCAGTTAAGAGTGCTTCCTACTGGTTATAACCCAGTGAAGGCTACTCTGGTATAAGCAGCCTTTTGGTTGGGTTTAGGACTCCAAAGCATCCGTGCACATCCAGCATATGTCTTCTAATAATCCAGTCATGAAGATCTGAACTCAAAAGCTCAAAATGTCCACAAAAACTGAGGCAATATAACCATGAGTCAGAAGCAGTTTCACCAAAATGTATTTCTCTTGCCTCATTAAAAATGTCTTTACAGTTCCCTGTTTTACCAAGCATAAGGTAAATGCTGTTTTTTGACACAAAACAGCATTCTTTACATTGTGAGATCTCTAAAGAAGGAGGTGTTCTGTGTTTGTACAGGACCAGCCTGGCTACATTCAAAGGGTCACAGTGAGGGCTGCTCACCAGTGCCACTAGGTAATAAAAACAACTCTTTTCAACTTTTTAACAGGTACTTGGTTTGCACACATTTATGATTCCTGTGTTTGCTTTTTGAAAAAGTGTTTGTTTCAATAGTTTTTTTATTCATGCTACTATTTGGACGACAACAATTCGCAGTCATGGAATTCAGGTTGTTTAGAGAATCACAGTCAGTCACTTAGAGAAGGAAACAATAGCATATAACATATTTGCCCAGTCTCAGTAGGTGGTTACCGCCAAACATTGAGGGAAGGTGAGAGGAGACATCTCCACAAAGCACAAGAATGGTCATGTCAAATGTTTGCCTATTCAGTTACCCATCATTAATATCTTATTCAAAAGTCCCACAAAGCTCATTTGATGGCTATTTAAAGAGACAATGAGTAAGGATATCCTCTGAAGTTGCTTGCTCCCTTCCATCAAGTAGCATCATTGCTACAAGGACCACATAAGACAGAGATCAAAAGTTAGGATGTGAACATGTAAGAAATACTCAAACACATGAAAAATATCCATAGACTGGTGTCCCACACAGCTTGATGCCCAAAAGCTTGGCTCAGAAGAGTCGGGGCAAGCATATAGGTGAACTGTTTCAGTGGATCTATTTATAAGCATATCATGGAACATTGTTTGCTTTGATTCCTGCTTGTGCAGAGTGCAGCAATGGACCTGCCTCTGAAGATAGATCAGGAGCACAGAGCCACCTTTGCAGTTGACTGGTGGTGACTGACATATGTGGTGAGGTATTTAAAGTTCTGTGCTGCACTGAAGTGAAAAGTGTTAACCTCAGCTTCTGTGAGACTGTTCGATCTGTAAAATTGTTTTTTATTAGAAAAGCAAGATATTTCATTTCAGTAAAGACCATGAGAGAGTCGCTATCATTACAGTGCTCAGATGTGCCAATAAAACAGATTATGCAGATGCCATAGAAGTTACTTTTAAGCTAATCCTGTGCAGAGAGTTATTTGTTAAGAATTATTAAATGCAGCATGCAAAGCAAAATGTGATCCTTTAAAATAGCACAGCAGTAGCAGAAGAATACTTATAAAAGCTGAAAGACTTATCAAGTTTCACTTCACAAATTGAACAAAGTCCAGAGAGGAGTCAAAGTACATAGAGCAAAATGAATTTTAAGACATTGAGTTTATAATCATTACTGGAAGAGTCCAGTAAAGATAAGT